ACGTTACAACCCATAAAAGTCCTAACTGAAGCATGGGTCAATTCGAAAACATGCTACGACGAGATAGCGTTTAACTGACTCCTAAGAGGTATGTCTCAATATCTGTTTTGGCATCATATGCTTGCATTATCTTTCATAAAAAAAAAGAATTTGCAAATGTTTCTCTCTAGCTAGTGACTCGTTCACAACAGAGTTGCGACGTCATTTCATTCAAAGTTTTTTCAAACTTCAAGACTTACATATGTGTTGCATTAGAATTATCATTCTCATAATAAACATTCTTCCGCATACAAAACAACTGATTGACATCAAGTAAATTTGCACAATGAACAATCGGTGAAGAGCTCAATCTTGTCAAAAAAGAGAGCCTTGAATGCTCTGTTGAAGCAAGAGTCAGCTACCACAAGAGAAATGACTTATCCAGCAGCATGTTAACCGGTGATTCTGTCAAGAGAAATCATCTTGGTACTTCACAGCTTGAGTACCCTTCAGGGGTAAAGTTAGCAGATTCCATCAATTTGGGGCATTCCCTTTAAACTTCTAATCTGGGACCGTCAAGTCGAGAATCAATCTCTCTAAGTTCAGCCGAATCTGGGACATTCCCTCAAAGCGATCAATCAGAGGCTATCACGACGATAAATCTCTTCAATCTCGATCAATCAGAGGCTATCACGACGATAAATCTCTTCAAGCTCGATTAATCAGAGACTATCACGTCGATAAATCTCTTCAAGCTTAACCAATCAGAGGCTGTCACGTCAAGAGATCTAGTCAGAATTCATTCAACCTGGGGCGGTTACGTCGAGATTCGACAAATCTCTCCAAGAAAGTTGTAATCAAGAACAGTTTGTTTCGTGGCTCAAGACATTGGGGTAGGCCACCTCATATCATATTGTGGCACGAATATGCTGGTATCCTATTCAACATAGATCTTCTCAGAGACCCTCCAGACAGGGGCATTCCTCATCCGTACTTAGTTGCTCAAGTCAATTATGTTGTACGAGACGAATCAAGCCAAAAACACCATAACAATCAACCTGACTTGACCAGCGCACAAAGCTGCCTCCATCTACTACAAGAAACTTCGGGTCCGATTCCCCAAGTGAATTCAGAAAGTCTAGAATCGTCTTTTAATTCAGCACGCGCAAGAGCATCCCCAGTAAAGCTAAACCGGGGCATTCGCAAAGCTAAACCAGGGCAGTCGCAGAGTTTAACCGGGGCACTCATAGGTGTCCATGCCCATATCTTATCCCCAAGTGATTCAAGAGATAATTCCCCAGTATGCGTAAACTTGGGACATGTATTCAGAGACATCTGCATGGTGTTCAGTATCCATTCTTCAGCATATTCACTTATATCACCCCCTCAACAGTTCGGGATGTATGGAGGTTTGGTCAGATTATCTCTTTCTTCAACGGTATGATTCAGAATCCAACAGTGTACCCAAAGACTCGCTTCGTCAGTAATTCAGTCTTCAGCAGAGTCATCAACAATCTTCGGTATCATGGGCTCCCCAGTGCAAATTTTTATCGGTACCCCATCAATCTTTGGTACTGCAGACTTCCAAGCGTCAATGTATACTGACATCCCCGATGATGAATAGTGGTTCCCAGCAAACCTTCTCTTATCCCCATGAAGTTTCTTTCTTCGCATTGCATATAGTTATCATTACATAACATTGCATCCTCAAAAGCGCGTAGCTGATCCATCAGAGTGGATCTTTGCGTCAAAAGAAATTCAAACATGCATACAAAGCATAAGCCAGACCAGGTACCTTACACGAAAGACCTGAATTATTCAAGGACAACAATACGTCCCTACAGGAGGGTATCATGCCCAAAGTCCCCAATCAGTGACCTTCACCTTTTCAATGCCAAACAAAATCAATACACTTTTCCGTTCTAAACCCAGTTCTTGTCTGGTAGTCGGTTCCCTAAACACTCGTCTGTGTCTATTCCTAAACATTCGTCCGTGTCCATTCCTAAGCACTCGTATGTGTCAAGTTTCCTAAACACCCACCGGGTCAGTTATTCAAACACTCGTCCGTGTTTAACTTTTTGATACTCGTCCGTATCTTCTTTCAATACTCGTCCGTATTGAATCAAACACTCGTCCGTGTGTAACTTTTGGATACTCGTCCGTATCTTCTTTCAATACTCGTCCGTATTGATTCAAACACTCGTCCGTGTTTTTACCTTTTTGATACTCGTCCGTATTCTTTCAATACTCGCCCGTATCTCCTTTCAATACTCGTCCGTATTGATTCAAACACTCGTCCGTGTTTAACCTTGGATACTCGTCCGTATCTTCTTTCAATACTCGTCCGTATTGATTCAAACACTCGTCCGTGTTTAACTTTCTTGATACTCATCCGTGTCGCTTATCTAAACAATCATCATGTCATAACCCATGTTCCCTTCGTCGAACCTGAGATTGCCTCTTGGCTAGGTTCTTCCTTCAAATCATCGTCGAACCTGAGATCGCCTCTTGGCTAGGTTCTTCCTTCAAATCATCGTCGAACATGAGATCGCCTCTTGGCTAGGTTCTTCCTTCAAATCATCGTCGAACCTGAGATCGCCTCTTGGCTAGGTTCTTCCTTCAAATCATCGTCGAACCTGAGATCACCTCTTGGCTAGGTTCTTCCTTCAAACCTTTGTCGAACCTGAGATCGCCTCTTGGCTAGGTTCTTCCTTCAAATCATCGTCGAACCTGAGATCACCTCTTGGCTAGGTTCTTCCTTCAAACCTTTGTCGAACCTGAGATTGCCTCTTGGCTAGGTTCTTCCTTCAAATCATCGTCGAACCTGAGATCGCCTCTTGGCTAGGTTCTTCCTTCAAACCTTTGTCGAACCTGAGATTGCCTCTTGGCTAGGTTCTTCCTTCAAATCATCGTCGAACCTGAGATCGCCTCTTGGCTAGGTTCTTCCTTCAAATCATCGTCGAACCTGAGATCGCCTCTTGGCTAGGTTCTTCATTCAAATCATCGTCGAACCTGAGATCGCCTCTTGGCTAGGTTCTTCCTTCAAATCATCGTCGAACCTGAGATCGCCTCTTGGCTAGGTTCTTCCTTCAAACCTTTGTCGAACCTGAGATTGCCTCTTGGCTAGGTTCTTCCTTCAAATCATCGTCGAACCTGAGATCGCCTCTTGGCTAGGTTCTTCCTTCAAATCATCGTCGAACCTGAGATCGCCTCTTGGCTAGGTTCTTCATTCAAATCATCGTCGAACCTGAGATCGCCTCTTGGCTAGGTTCTTCCTTCAAACCTTTGTCGAACCTGAGATCGCCTCTTGGCTGGGTTCTTCCTTCAAATCATCGTCGAACCTGAGATTGCCTCTTGGCTAGGTTCTTCCCTCAATCATCGTCGAACCTGAGATCGCCTCTTGGCTAGGTTCTTCCTTCAAACCTTCGTCGAACCTGAGATCGCCCTTTGGCTAGGTTCTCTGTCAAATCACTCTCATGTATCACCTTGGGATCGTAGGTCGCCCGTAGACCTCGTCTGCTGTCTTTTCATACCAACCATTTGGCTTGTATTGGCATTAGGCCACGTTACAAGTCCAGTCTCTGTCTCTTCATTGAAAAAAACAAATTTTCTTTTCACCAGCAGATAACACATAATAAATAAATAAAGAAAACACTCATTCTCCCTCAGGACAAATTTTTGGCATTGATATTTAATCATCTTCAACCTTGAATTTCCGAAAGGCACGTGCCAATCGTACTTTCAGGTTTAAGACGATTAAATAGGGGCAGCTGTAATACCCCAAATTTGTCCTACCCTTTTACTTTTATCTGGCTTACACATTTCTTGCATTTTTTTTCTCACATTAGGTCATCTAACACATCATGCATCATTAATCAATAAATTGGCATAAAATCATGGATTTCGAGGAATAAGGGTTGGTGTGTGGCTTTTTCTCTAACACTGTGGACTTCTTTTAGTGATACAATTTTTTGGTTCTCGTCAAATACTTGCCGCTTCAATTGTGAGTCATCCCAAGGCTATCTCGAAAGGCTGCAAGCTTAAGCAGTGAGGAACATCGTCTTATACTTATCACCTCCACATAAATGATGATTTATTTCCATGATCATATAAATTTCAAAGGGGTTCTATAATTACTTAAAGTGCAAATGGTTGAAGATTTTGATATATCCATGGCCATTAAGATCTTGTTCAAGGATGCTTCAATATGTCATAAAAAAGGGTTATCATATAAGAAAATCGTATCTTTTACGAGTTAATATTTCAAATGGTCCTTTCTTCATCAAATGAGGTTTAGCTATTCCTTGAACCTCAAGGCATATGTTCACGAGCTCTAGGCAAGAGAAGAAGATTCAACGGGATACTATTTGCCAAATTGAAATTTGTACACTTTATGAGGCAAAGCTCTTTGTCGGGTCTATTCGCTTACTTGTGATATAATATGCTTTGGGGACTTCATTTCAAAATACATTAAAATCAAAATCTTAAGCTTCTTCAATTATGGTTTTGAAGTGAGGAGTAAGAAAGATGCAAGGCTCGTTCATTTGAGGGTGTTTAGGCATGTCTTCATTCAAAAGCAAAGAAACTCGAAGTTACAAATTCGTCCTTGGAAAAGGCTCTTATTAAATTCATATCGCAACCATGGAGTTATATGCAACATAAAATTAAAAAAATCTTGGAGATACAAAAGGCAATTCGGAAGAGAAGACTACTTGGAATATTTGGGCTCCATCATTAAAGTTCAAGAGTTCACATTCATACAATGATATAATCTTTACAAGTTCTAAAGCATTACTCGTGATTTGTCAAAGGGTTATCCAAAATCATTCTCGTTCATTCGAGGTCATAACCATGCAATTTACAAGCGGTATCATTAGAACATTACAAGAGAAGATTTCAAAAGGACGTTTACATCCAAAATTACTAAATCAAAAAAACAAGAATTTACATTAAATATTCAAGTAGCCTAAAGCTAAAGAATTCTAAATCAAGGTTTCCCTCATTTCTAAAGTTATTTATCTTCAAGCCACTATCTTCCAAGATTGCCCCATTCCAACCTGGTTATGTCCAAGCCTCGGTCCATGTTTCATACCAAAAGAAAACCTGCATAAACAACCATTTTTCGAGCCGGTTCAGTACCAATACGTAATCAAATTAATTTAATTTGAAATACAAAAATCAACAATTACACCAAGTATTATGTGCTTAAAACTAACTTTTTCCTAACTTCTAACTATAACTAACTTTCTATTTCCCAAACTGTAACCAACTTTCCTTTTTCCCACCTCTTAACCATTTTTATAACAACCTCTCTAAGTCCTAACCAATTAACAGAATAACCAACTTTTTCCCCACCTTCTAACCTCCTAACTAATTTCTAACATTTTTCTAACTTAACCCAAAACCATATCTCAACTAATCCCAACAGAATTACAAAGTCCATAAACAACCTCTAACTGATTCAAATCTCACCATCTATTCCATAACTAACTCATTCAATTCAACAGTTCAGATTCAATTCAACAGTTCAGATTCAATTCAACTATAACAAACTTTCTCAGCATCTAATAGAATATAAAAACTGATTCTTACCTGGAATCTCTTCATTACTTAGTCACTTCAGAAGAATCACCGTAAAGAATTTTCTCAGGAAAATCTCTCATCTCTCTGCAATCACCTTCAATTCTCCACTGAACTTCATCTTCACGCAACAATTTGTATAACCGCTACTGCATCAACTTGCTTCAATCTTCATCATCTGCATCTCTGCGTCAACTTGCAGCAATCTTCTTCAACTGCAACATCACAACAACAACACTTCAACAATCTGCTTCACAGCTTCATCAACGTCACGAATCGACAACAACAAACACCACACCGAATCGCACAAAATCGCAACAACAACTGGCTGGAGAGAACGTTAACAATAATCAAGATGTGCAAGCAACAATCAAGATCTCTGCAAAAATGCAACCATCATCATTAATTCTTCACTTGTCAATGAAACTCTCGATAACATAAATTCCAAAAGGCAGAAGTGAAAGAAGATGAGAATTCAGAATTGAGCGAGAAGGAGAATGTGAGTTGAAGACAAGACGAGATACCTGAACATTGAAACTTTCATCGAACACATCTCTGTCTCTATCACCACCGTGAGGTAAGTGATGGCTTTTTCGTTTCTCCAATATCTTGATGCCACTGCATAGAGCAAACCTCCCTGATCATTTCCCCTAAGGCTTCGCCATGAGATCATCTACCGTGAACATTTAATTTTGCTTCTGAAAAGCTAGGTTTTTTCCCTCTGAGATTGCAAAGATTGTGAGGTTTCGTGTAAAAGTAATGGAATAGAGGTTTGAGATGACGACGAAGGTTGAGCGCCCCTGACGTCGACGAGATGAAGATGGCGGCTTCGTCCTTAATAATTCACGAAGGTTGAGCGGAGATCATCGGAAAAGGAATCGGAGAAGACCGACGGAATCGCGAAGAGAAGCGATGAAGAATGTCGCTAAGCTTGACGTTGAGTTGACGGTGGTAAGCGGCGGAAATCGCCGGAGCGAAAAAGAAGGCAACGCAAGGACCGGCAGCGCCGCGTTCGCGAAGAGGAGGGAGAGATTCTTTTTTCTCTCAAACCCTATTCCATTTTCAATTTTCATATACTTTTTTTTCATTTAATTTAATTGTCTTATTGTTTTATTATTCTTTTATTTCAAACAAATAATAACAATTATAATTAAAATAATAAATAAAAATGTTGAAAATCTTTTGGGCAAATTACTTCTACAGCACCCCATGAATTCAGCTCACACCCCTTTATTCTTCTAAATTTTTTTCCTTTTCTTTTATTATTTTAGTTTTTTCTTTTAGTTTAATTTTTTTAATCAATAATAAAACAATAAAAATAATAGAATATTTTTAGAATAGAATTTCTTTTTAGAATTTCGATTAGAATTTCTCTATTTTATTTTTCATATTCGATAATCATTTTATTGACTTTTTTAGTCAAGATTTTTGTGATAGCATTGATATAACTCTTGCAATGTGGAATACTCGGGGTTAATTCTTCAATCACTCGCCCAAGGGAACTTTGATAGAGTTCTCTTACCGCTTGCACAATTTTGAAGAGGCAACGGACCTCCTCCGTTCGGTATTGTCGCAAATCTATCTTATTCTTCATTTTCGTACTTTATCGTAATTCAAACATGACAACATTAAGTAGAATCCCTTCAAAATTCTAACTTTAGGTCTAACGCATAATAACATCAGGTTTAGAAGTAAGTTAGTCCCATTTGACTTTCCTTTCTCTCTGAACATACGTATCTAAAACTAAAACTTTCTCTTTCTTTCAAAATTCAAAAACACTTTAAAACTATTGATGAGAATCATACTTTTGCTTAGTACGGGAAATGATAAGCGAGTCTCTTCTCGATCTTATTGTTCTTCATCTCAAGCATAGGTGTGGTTCAATTCTCAAAGACTCCTTTCATGACTAAGTAGAAGAATGGCTAATATCTCTCTCTTGAGGTCAATCAGTCATCATCTACAACAAAAATACAGAACAAAATCAAATCTTTTGTGCGCTCGAGCACCATTTCATTAAAAAACCCTTTTCAGGTAAGGACATGATTAATTTACTTCTGTGCTAACGCATAAGCCTCCAAAGGTCGAGCTGCGACAGAAGGCGGAATTAACTTCGTCCACAAAAAAACATCTATAACAAAATACAAGACAAACTCAAATCTTTTGTGCGCTCGAGCACCATTTCTCTAAAAAACTCTTTTCAGGAAAGGACATGATTAATTTACTTCTGTGCCAACGCATAAGTCTCCAAAGGTCGAGCTGCGGCAGAAGGCGGGATTAACTTCGTCCATAAAGAACACAAAACAAACAAAAACATATGAGCCGAACTACGGTAGCTCTGATTCCTCAAAACGGATACGTAGGCATTGGGGTAGGGCCCGAGCGAGCACAATTTTATTTTCCCTACATTCTTTTCCCCTTTATTTTGCATGCATTCCTCCAGTAGTATAGTAAACAATAAGCATAGATTAAACACACCCATAAGATAGATAACAAGAGTGGATACCGTAGAGTACTACGGGCGCGTGGGGTGCTAATACCTTCCCCTCGCGTAACAGACTCCCTTACCCGATCTCTCGGCCGCAAGACCGTGACTTCTCCCTTCTCAGGTTTTCTCGATGTTTACCTTTCCCTACATGTGGGATAAAAGACGTTCGATGGCGACTTCATTGTTTTGATGATTTTCAGTCGGTTGTTTCAGTAGGGTGGTTGCCAACTTTAAACAAGCTTGTCTGACTTTGTAGAGGAAACTTGTGCAAAGGGAATCAATACAAAGCTCAATGCAAGTTGACTTGCATAAAGCTTGCTTTATGTAAATGGCAATGGTGCCTTTGTGCCATTAATGGAAAATTTACTTGGATAAAGCTTGAATCAAGTGGATAATAGCTCAAAAGCAAGTGTAATATTCTGATTATGGAGAGATCTTGAGGTTTAGAGGCCTGCAAAGCAAGATTGTGCAGCATAGGTTTGAAATTTGAATTTTGTTCATCACAAAATGACTTGTAATTCAAGTTTGAAAATCCTAACTTCCTCTCTTTGATTCTCCCTGCTCAAGAATGATCTAAAGGAGTTCTTGGATATTTTGAAAAGCTTGTAACATTATATACAACCCCTCTTTGAAACACTTTTGAAAATTCTCTTTGGAACTATATGAAAAAGTGCCATGAAGTTAGGTCAAAATCCTAACCAAAACTAGGGCAATATTTCACTAAGTGTTCAATTTCAAGACCATGACTTTATGAATTAATAACTTGAGATCCAAGCATTTTTAGAAGAAGTCGCGTAAAGAAACATTGTAGATATCATGGATATCTACAACTTTCATGTTGAAAGTTTATTTTGAATCATCTTGCATCATGGTGAAAAATTTACTCAAAGTTGTGAGAAAACATGAAGTTTTAAACACTTAGAAAAATTCTAAGTTAGAAAACTTTGACTTTTCAAAATGAAATCTTGACTTTTTGATTTCTTGATGAATAAGTTTCATATTTTGACATGTTTTGATGAATTGTGATCTTTGACATTGGATTTTGACCAAAAAGTCAAAGTTTGACTTTTTAGTGTACAGTTGACTTTTGATCAGTTGACTGAGAATTCACTATCAATCCTATTGATCTTGAGAAATGTTTTAGGTCATGCCATTAGGTCAAAAAGTTGCAATTGAAATATTGAAACCATGCTTCAAACCAATTAACCATTTGCTAGGTCAAAAATCAGAAATTGCCCTTTCTCAGTCAAAACCCTAATTTTGACCATTTTGCCCTTTTGATGATTTGATCAAATTTCTTGAGGAATTATGGTCCAAAATTGATCAAATGATACATATGAGTTTATAATATTGATGTGGATCAAAAATCATGAAGTTTGAGTGTAAATTGGCCATAGTTGACTTTTTCCCCAATACAACTGATTTTTAGGTCAACTGCTCAATTGACTGAGCAAAAGTGTGATCCAAGGCTTGAAACTTGACATGAATAATCTTGGGGGTCCATAATGATCCATGAAAGTCATATGAAGCATTGAAAGTTCAATCATCCTTGTGCAATCTCAAACCCTAATTTTGGTCATTAGTGCTTAAGGAGGTGTCTTTAGTTGATCAACCCTAGTGCAGTCTTGAACCAAGAGAGATCTTGTGAGAGATGACTTGATAAATGAGAGGGAAAATTTTGGGGTACAACAATATCTAATAGTTGCGTGATCAGTATATATAATAATCTTTGCGCCTACTAGATAGGAACAAAATTTATCTAATGCAAAAACGACTGCCAAGAGTTCCTTTGCTGTAGCGGTGTAGTTTATCTGTGCAGAATCCAAAGTCCTACTTGCATAGTATATTGCATGGAGTTTTTTTTATCTTATTTTTCCTAGGACTGCACCTACTGCATAATCGCTTGTGTCGCATATTATCTCGAATGGTAGACTCCAATCAGGTGGTTGTATGATAGATGCGGATAAGAGAGATGCTTTTAATCGTTCAAACGCCTTCAGGCAGTCATCATCGAAGATGAGTTCATCTTATTTCATTAAGAGTTTAGTTAGATGTTTAGAAATTTTCGAGAAATCTTTTATGAAGCGTTGGTAGAAATCGCATGGCCTAAGAAACTTTGTATTTCTCTTACGGTTTTTGGGGGTTGGAGGCTTTCTATTACTTCAATCTTAGCTTTGTCTACTTCGATCCCCTTTTCAGAAACTATGTGTCCAAGTACAATTCCTTGTTTTACCATAAAATGGCATTTCTCCCAGTTCAACACTAGGTTTACTTGTACACATCTTTCCAGTACCCTTTCCAGGTTTGACAGACATCCTTCAAAACTTTTCCCATATACAGAGAAGTCATCCATGAATACTTCCATGATATCGTCTATAAAATCGGCAAAGATGGACATCATACATCTTTAGAATGTTACAGGCGCATTACATAGTCCGAATGGCATTCACTGATAAGCAAACGTACCATAAGGACACGTGAACATTGTCTTTTCTTGGTCATCAGGGTGGATAGGAATTTGAAAGAATCCTGAATAACCTTCTAAATAGCAGTAGTAAGAATGCTTAGCCAATCACTCAAGAATTTGGTCAATAAAAGTTAGAGGGAAATGGCCTTTTCGAGTTGCTTTATTTAGTTTTCTGTAGTCAATTCACATTTTGGATCCACTCACGACTCTTTCTACTATTTATTCTCCCACTTTGTTTGTCGTGACTGTGATTCCTCCTTTCTTGGATATACAGTGGACTGGACTAACCCGTTGGCTATCTGAGATTGGATAAACGATACCTGCATTTAGAAGTTTAGCTACTTCTACCTTGACTACAGTGCTCAAGATCAGGTTAATTCTTCTCTGATGTTCTCTAGAAGATTTACAGTCTTCTTCCAGCATAATGTGATGCATGCAGATGGAAGGACTTATTCCTTTAAGATCAACAATGTTATATCCTAAAGCATAGGGATATTTTCTTAAGACATGCAATAGTTTTTCCGTCTCAGTTTGTCCTAAGTTTGCGTTGACTATCATAGGTCTTTTAAGTTAGGAATTGAGGAATTTGTATCTTAGGGTTTTGGGTAAAACTTTAAGTTCCATGTTGGGTTTCTTCGGACAAGGTATATGATTTAGTGTCAGTGCTACGCATTTGCTTAAACCGTCATCTCGATATTCGAGACACCAATCATCATCTTCA